GAATATGGTAAGCTCATATTACTTAATATGGTTTTCGTGTTCTTTCGAGAGACCCGAATTTAAACAAACGATTGTAACTATTAATCTCGCCCCCAAAACAAGTCACTTTCATTACAAACCTATAACAACTTCGAATTCGTTTTTTTTAATTTTAAAAAGTGTTTTCGTGATTGTATTGTATTTTTTTATCTTGGATATGTTATATAGATTGTTATCGTTCCTTAAAGTTAGGTTGATCATGGAAATATTGGTCAGGTAATTGTTTGTTTTGAATTTCGCGCAAAGCTTCATGAGGGCTATCTGCGCTAGCCGACTCTAATTTAGCAGTGAAATATAAGAGGGAAGGCAGCTAGTCATTACCACCCACTGCCAACTCTTGGGCTACTTTTTTACCAACGAATAGTAGGATTGACCGGAACATGTAACGCCCCCAAGGCTGATAGGGTGAACATGTTTGGTGGGACGGTGATTCGAACCCACGACCCGCAGATTGCGAGTCGAGCGCCCTAACCACCTAGCCATGCCGGACCTGGTCAGGAAAGCGTTTGTGGATTTGTACACTCGTTATTTTTTCTTCCATTTAAACCTTAGTTCCATCGAATTATGGGACGGCCAGTATTTTTGTAAGCTAGATATTTTTACACACAGGTGGCTAGCCCAGTTAGCAGCCATATAGAATGAGCATGTTCGGTGACGGGGATTGGACTCGCGACCCTCAGATTGCAAAGTGTAGAATATTGTATCATGTCCTGATGTCTAGTTTGCGTACGTCTCACAATACTTGAGTACAATATTTATATCAATATATCATTAGGACATTCATGCTGTTAGAACATACTTGAAAGGGAATTCCTATCAGCACGACAGGCACTCACCCTTATACACAGTCTCCATATACTTAGTTTTACTTAATTAAAGTCAAAACAAATACAGGACTATTCAAGGAGAGATAGCTATCGCCACATATCGAGAATAACAAGTACTGACGAATGAAAAATAAACATGAGCTTCCAAAACGACAAAATACATATTAGTTTCTCTGGAGATTTCTTGTAACAGTAGAGCACTATCACACATATAATATATCACATATCACTGCATACTTGGAATAAAAAGTCACACAATTCTTGGAAGTAGATTGAGTGACTGAACAATTCAGTGACTTTGGAATTAGATAAATCTTTTGATCATTTTCGTTGACGAGATTAAGATTATAACTAAATATAATTCAATGACTAAAACTAGAATAAAATTCTACTGACTTTTACAAACAAGACTAAGACTAAAACGACAAATGCTGACTAAATTAACACAGTTATGTACACACATGCAGTGTTTGGTATTGTCATAATCACACGTCAAAGGTTTTATGTACACATATGCAATGTTTGGTGTTGTCATAATCATACGCCAGAAGTTTACTTCCGCAATGGACTTGCTGTCACGCCTTGTCAAGCAAACTTTAAAGTCAAACAACTTTAAACAACGTAGTCATCAGTGGTCTGATAGGAAAAGCAACCAGTAATATAATTATATATTTGTTATTATTTTACAAAGCCAGAAAAAAGAAATTAAAAAATGAAGATGAGAAAAGTTAGTGTATTTATTATTATTTCACAACTAAACTATTAAAAAGTTAATAGGTGATACATAATGTTTGAAAGTAGGGTTCTAATTCGTGAGATGAAAAGGCAACATATATTGTGCGAAGCACAATCAGCACGCAAAGCATGCTAATACTTTGGGTGTTTGAGGGCAAGATCCTCCCCAGAAAATTAAAAAGCAATAGGTGCTATGAGATTTAATCTAGAAGCAATTTTGCATGAAATATAGATTAAACACTTGTATGGCTGTTAACATATAACCCACAAATATCCAATGAAAAGTCAACAAATCACCATTCCGTTGTAATACTACATGGGAAGCTAGACTTAAATGAAAATAAATATTTATTTTTTATTATAGTAAAGTACTGCACTATCTACATGCAGAGTAGTTATTAATTGTTAAGTTATATTAGTAATTTAAACAACTAAGTACAAAAATAGTATATTAGCCATTTCAAACATTGACTCTCATATACGTACATCAATGCACTACTGAAATAACATGCTAGCATGTTCCATTCTTCTGGGGTGTTTTTCGACAAAAAAAAACGTACACACAGTTTCAGTGTTGATAGCAGTGTTATAACGATTATGAATTAAAGCCAGTCTTTCTTCGGTTTGTTTTCACCTCAAGTAGCTATTCAATCGGCAGAGAGCAGATGCCGAACGTTCAAATTAACTTCATGGCAGTGTGGCAAAAAAGTTTCAGTAACATAAATATATTTGGTACACTGAAGAATGCTTTGAAGAAAGAGAGATAACTGTTAGCTCTGAACAAATTTGTACAAGTAAAGTAAAAAGTTTTCAAAAAAGGATGTAAATGTAGGGATGGCTAATATCAATCCTTCAAAAACAATGCGAATAAGATAGTAGCGATGACATTTGCATCATCCCTGCATAATAGCACAGGCACACAGTGTAGTAGAATATTAACAGACAAAAAAATAGGATGAATTAAACTGAATTGTGATTGAATAGTTGTATATGTTGCTATATGTTAATTCTTGCCTGCGATATTATGTGGGGATGATGCAAATGACATCCCAATATCTTATTTGTATTGTTTTTGAAGGATTGATATTAGCCATCCTTATATTTTCTTCCTTTTTAAAAAGTTTTTCTTTGTTTTTTAATGCAATGTTTTAATAGACATAGGAAGGTTGTACTTTTAATAAAGTTCTAAATACAATGTTTGTTTGTTTGTTTTGAATTACGCGCAAAGCTGCGCTAGCCGTCCCTAGTTTAGCAGTGTAAGACTAGAGGAAGGCAGCTAGTCATCACCACCTCTTGGTGGAATAGTGGAATAGTGGAATTGACCGTCACATTATAACGCTCCCACGGTTGAAAGAGCGAGCATGTTTGGTGTGACGGGGATTCGAACCCGCGACTCACCGATTGCGAGTCGAATGCCCTAACCACCTGGCCATGCCGGGCCACTCTAAATACAATGAGGCTCCAACTATAATATCTATTGTTTATCTATTATTAGCTGGTAATTCCTATTTCACACTGTATTTAAGCTTTCTAAAGGAACATCAAATCTCTGTAAGAAAGCTATCTTCAAGAGGTAATGATAACATTGTTTACACTAGAATTATGATTTTTTTTAAATTACTACAAGGTAATGATAGTTATAAAAGCGGATAATCCGTTTGAAACTGTGTCACCTCAGTGAAACTGGTTGACATCATTGTTTTGGTTTTTGAGTTAACATGTAATAAAAAGAAACAGAAGAAAGAAGAACAAGAAATTCAAACTTTTTGCTGTGATATTTAGATACATTCCCAAAACTTGTCACTCAGTCATTACATATATATTGTTATAAAAGGAAACACTGTATAGTATTGTAAAGTTATGATGACCTAGTGAGGAGATATTTAAAATACCCTTTCGATGAACAATCCTAGCCATTCCTACATAGACAGTGCTACCGCCTACTTGATATAATTTTGACTTGTTTTAATATATTATTTTAAAACAAGTGTACTGTGTTGCTGTTTGTTTATTATTGAAATTTATCGCCAACAAGGCACAGACACCTATTACAAAGAATCCGGCCTACAAAACCTGACAGTAGCAATACGGCTTCGGATTTCCAATTACAAAGTGTCAACAGAAGCCATTGCATCCGACTATTTTAAGTCAAAAAATGCTAATGCTTCACCAGAAGAATGTAGACTATCATAAGAAGCTGCGCTATAACTATATGAGCAATAATTTTTTAAATCACAAAAATAAGGGGTTCGACCGAATCCCCTCCCTGCGCACGTGAGTGGTGATAAGTTGCTTAAATACAACTTAGCTAACCATCATTACAAACTTGGCGGTGAGTGTTTTTTTGGATGACGTATCTAAGCATTGGATAATCGTACCCACTCTTGATCCGTGAAGTTTATTCACAAAATAGTTTTAATACAGTGACGTGATCAAAAATAACATTATTATTATGAACTTTGATTTTATACCAATGGTGTTATTTTTCGTTGATCGATCAAAATACTTTCTTTAGTTCTCAGCATTATCGCAGACACCAACTGTTCACAATGCCAGCGATTATAACATTAGTAAACTTACTAGTACAGCACGTTTATTTGTTTGTTTAAAATTGCTACACAAGGGCTTTCTGCGCATAGTCGTTCCCAATTTTGAACTGATAGACTAAGAGCGAGGGCAGCTAGTGAACAGCGCCCACAATCTCTTGGGTTTCTTTTATTTGACCGAACAGTTAAATTTGACCTTCTCTCTTTTAGTACATTCACGGCACCGAATTACGGAGAGGATTTTTGTAGCAACGGTTCGCGAACCATAAATACTCGGATTCACAGTTCGGGCGTGTTAACCACATGGCCACGCCCGGCTCGAGTGTGGGAGGAGTATTACAGGAATGAAAAGAAACCTCTGGATCAGCAAGCGGCATCGCCGTTTCTCCAAATATTGTTAGTGGTTTTGAGTAAATAGAATGTTGTTACTCTTAGCAAAAGTTTTGAATTTGATAATGCCGTCACCGCCACTGAGCAAATAATACAGAAAAAAAATCCAACAACTATAAAATAGCATTCTTAATATTTCATTGTTACTACGTTAGCTTGTTTGTAATTAAGCACAAAGCTATACAATGGGCTATCTGTGCTCCGCCCATCACGGGTTTCGAAACCCGGATTCTAGCGTTGTAAGTCCGCAGACATACCGCTGTGCCATTGGGGGCACTATGTTAGCAAAACAAAGAAAAAGGAATATTAATTGTATCATTACTTAGAATTTATAGAAATGTATGTTTCTTTGAAAACGGTTTCTACGAACTAACATGATTTCGAACACAGCATGAACTGTAGTAATAAATTCTTGCTGACTGTTTATTTTGTAAATTCTTTAATGAATTTTACATGTTCTCACCTCTGTTAGTTTTCTGCTTCGATGTCGCTTATAGATACTGTACACTTGGCATGCTACCATGGGATAAGTACTCAGGTATTTAGCGATTTTGTGAGGATCTTCAACAATTAGGTATCTAGCCCAAGAAAGTTCCTTAAAGTCGCTGTCTGCCTGCGACGAAAAACAAAACTTTAAAGTCAGTTTGTGCTTTACTTTGGTCTCTTATCTATACAATAGTTACCATATTGTGAGTGAATTGATCAGTACCTTACCAATCTATACAATAGTTACCATATTGTGAGTGAATTGATCAGTACCTTACCAATCTATACAATAGTTACCATATTGTGAGTGAATTGATCAGCACCTTACCAATCTATACAATAGTTACCATATTGTGAGTAAATTGATCAGCACCTTACCAATCTATACAATAGTTACCATATTGTGAGTGAATTGATCAGCACCTTACCATTCTATACAATAGTTACCATATTGTGAGTAAATTGATCGGTACCTTACCAATTAAAATTGTTTAAAACGATATCCTGCTATGAATATGGATTTCACTAGTATATTAGTGTGCATGAATTTGTTGTTTTAAAGACCTCGTTTTTATAGTTAAGCTGGCATTTATCATATGTCTATAACAATAATTATATAATAGTAATACAGTAATTATATATTTACCATATCCATAAAAAATTCAAAGTTCGAATGGACAAGACAAATGACATTTATATAAGAACGTTGTTTTCGAAGTTCGTGCATTGTTTTCCTGTATTTCTTATAGGTGGCGATAAGGGCCTCTTTGGACGACGTGTCCAACCATTGGATAATCGTGCTCACTCTTGATCCGTGAAGTTTATTCACAAAATAGTTAATATAGTGACCTGATCAAAAACAAAACTTTCATTGTGAACTTTCATCAACATTAGATAGTAATTGTTGTTAACACAACATCATTTCACATTTATGACAAAAAAGGCCTAAGCTGGCGAAGCGTGATCTGTTGGTCGTAGTTACATCACAATAATATTGATGATGGTTTTTATCACGTCTTTCATTACTGATCCTATATAGATTTCTGAACACTCTTCGCCAAATTAGACATTGTACACCATAACATTAAATGTCTTATAAATAACGTTTCAACTGAGACTTTATGTGTTGTAATTCCAATCGACTTTATGGGCTTTGGTACTTAGTGAAACACCGCATCGGCAGCGGCATACAACACGCAAAGTATTGCGGTTGAAATCCTACTACAGTATACTCTTTTCGCTGGAAGCCCGTAATAGGCCAGTAAAGAAAGATGCGTATTAAAATTATCCCCAGTCTTACTGTGATGTAATATCACACTAACTACTGATTAACAGATCATTACTTTACATTTTTGTGGATCAATTACCCAAGCCCTTTGAACGATAACTAATGTATTGTAAGTAGTACGACCCTGGTTATTCAACTATAGTCTTCACATAAATATCCTGCGTTTTCAGAAAGTAAGCCATAACCTCTGAAAGAGGCATGGCTACCTTCAGAAATCGTTTTATGTAATGCTAAATGGTGTAAATAAAACACGGACTCTGATATCATATAAAACTATTAATAATCTGTAACAGCACTGACAAACAACGTGAATATGATAAGGAAACATGAGAAGCTGTCACTTAGAATTTGTACTTTATATAGTCCCAGTTCGTGAAGATTTGTAACGTATAGTCGCTTTGGCTTAACTATTAATGTTGGTTATCAGTTAAACATGCGGAAGCCTAAATGTTTTCAGGGTTTGTTTAACCACCATAGATAGATTAAATGTTTAAAATATAGTTCAGCACATTGCTTAAAACTCTTAAACTTGACCTACCCAAGTTCTTAGTAAAGTATAAAGAAAAGAATCAGTTAAAACTATAACCAGTTTACTTAGGTTGTCTTTGTAAACATCATAAAGGTTAATCAGGAATGTTTTGTTTCCAACATAATCTAACGTATCTCACCTGTTAGCTTTGAAGATTATAACGCTAATATTTTGAGTTCCATCCCAGCACATGGTCTATTGCACAGCATTATATCAAAACAAACTAATAACTTCCAACATATATTAGATAATATTTTGATTATTTGTGTTCAACAAACAGTTACTTATCAACACAAAAATGACATTTGATAATACATAGCAATATTCCTTAATAAAAACATTTATGGCAATGATGGAATGAGCCTAATATTTTACCCTTTGAACTTTAGACTTGCAAAAAACAAATAACTCACAAAATATAAGCTTCGATACATTTTTATAAATAATTTAGTAATTCCTGCTATATCTTTAGGATGATAAATAATTATTTCTAAAATGTTCATCTACAAAGAAGTAAAATAATCCACTAACCATCATAAAGAATAACCACGAAAGAGGTTCTTATGATCTTTGTGACTGTGTCCTCCAAAAGACTTTCAGAGATTTCGTCATGAAGTGAACAGTTGCTTTCTGCAAAAGTAAAAAAAAGGTAAACCCAACTATAAGTTTGCGACCTTAAAATTCATTTTAATAGAATTTTGAATTTCTTTCAAACTGTGCATTATATTCAAGTTACGACATAACAATCAAATGTGCCTATACTATTCGAAGAACATACCTTTTTAAAGTTATTTAGAAGTCATCCAAAGTTTCATTAATGTTAGAAAAATAGCGCTCTGTGTAGAATATTGTAATTATGGAAAAGTCCCACCAGCAAAGACGTAAACTAATTTATTATTAAAAACACACTTGGAAATAAACACTGCTTCAAGTATAAATTTACTGACAGACTTTCATCACGTGTTATTCTTAACTGATGTATAAGAGAGATTTGACAATACAGTTTCTTTTTTCCTGTTTTGGTATGCCCTTATAAAGAACAAAAGTATTGCAGTATTTTGGTGCAATCCAAATACATTATTACGTAATTTGCTAAAACGTATGCAGAAGTTTCATGAAGAGCGTTTGCAAACCGGCACACAGAATACCGGACGCGAAGACAAGCATAAAATAAAATAAACATTGTTACGTATTACAATTTCGAATGATCTGAAATCGAGCTAAATGATAATTTAATAGTTAAATACATGCCGATTTATCTCGAATTTAGGATTTTTGCCAACAAGATTGACACACACAGATTTCTTTTTAATACAAATATGTTTTAATATACAGACAACAATACAATTTACAATAACAGTTATTACAAATAGTTATTACAAACAATGATTTATATACCAAAGTTTCACAAAGTTACAAGCAATATAAAGTCTTTTTTCTAGTCTCGAGTTAATTTTGAGTTAACGTAAGTACAATTCACTTAATAAGGAGCTAGCTAGCTCTGTGGTCTTCTCACGCCGATTACAGGTCGAGTTTTTTTACCACTGACGCTATATAATATATTCGTAAAAGTACTAATGTCCGATGTGAATCCACTGAAGTTAAATGGTATATAATGTTCAAACTTCATAAATGTTCATGGTCAAATCTCTCAAGTTTTCCGATTAATAAGCGCTAATCACAATTATAGCTTCTGAGGTTTATAGCACACAAACTATAGCAAACCAATAATGAATACTTTTTTTGGCGCGTCGCACTGGTTATATTTATAGGCGTGTGGAGAGTTTCTTGAAATTTCAGTTTTACGTAACAATACTGATGCTAACACTAGCGTTTACGTACACACATATATTGTTGATTCTTACACTCGAGAATCGAGAACCTTCTACAACTTTAGAGAATAGGTGGGAGTTTCGCAATACATATTTAACAGTATACTTTATTTTTCAAAAATTTTTGGCACGTGTGTAATGTTCAATCTTGAAAACTAAAACTTATTTTAAAAAAACAACGATTATTTTACATATAATTCAATAAAAATAAAAATAAGATTGTTTCCAGTCTCCAAATTACTAAAATAATAATTTACTGTACAAGGTTAAAAAGTTAATTGGTATGAATATACGTGAATCTATTGAGATAATTAAATGTAAAAAAAGTAAATTTAAGTTATTGAATAAGGATGATGGACCTGATGGAAATGTTGTCGGCAGATGGCGTGAAATTCTTTAATATGTAAATTGTTTTGATAATTGTATAAATAAGAGTTATTTTTTGCAAAACATTACACTACTGAGAATGATGCAAGATATACGTCGAAATATGTAGAGTGTATGAGATTGTTTTCCAGTCACATCGGGGATTTTACCACTTTTTAACCTTGTGTAATAAGTTATTATTTTAGTAATTTCGAGACTAGAAACAATCTCATTTTTATTTTTATTGAATTGTAT